GCCTCAGCCTCCTGAGTAGCTGGGATTACAGGCATGCACCACCATGCCCAGCTAATTTTTGTATTTTTAGTAGAGACGGGGTTTCACCATGTTGACCAGGATGGTCTCGATCTCTCGACCTCGTGATCCACCCGCCTCGGCCTCCCAAAGTGCTGGGATTACAGGCGTGAGCCACCGCGCCCGGCCTGTAACATGTTTTTATATATATAGTCATCCCTTGGTTTTCACAGAGGGTTGGTTCCAGGACCCGCATCCTCCCCCACCCCAAGAGGGATACCAAAATTCTCAAATCCCTTACATAAAATGGCATAGTCTTTTCATATAGACCTATGCACCCGCCTATCACATGCTTTAACTCATCCCCAAGTTACTTAGAGTAACTAAAACAATGTAAATGATAAATAACTAGTAAATAGATGTTAGACTGTATTTTTATTTGTATCATTTTTATTGTACATTTTCCCCCCTGAATATTTTATTCCAAGGTTGGTTGAATCCACAGTGTGGAACCTGCAAATATAGAAGGCCAACGGTAGGTAGGTAGAGAGAGAGAAAGAGAGAGTAAAGCTTCTCACAATCTGTTTTATATACATAGTACAGCTTTATAATTACTACATATAGACATTGCACCACTTTTGCTGAAGTTATCAAAAAGACCATGACATGATGGCTCACACCTGTAATTCCAGCACTTTGGGAGGCCGAGGCAGGAGGATCACTTGAGCCCAGTAATTAAGAGACCAGCCTGGGCGATATAGCGAAACCATGTTTTTACAAAAAAAATTTTTTTAATTAGCCAGGCATGGTGGCATGTGCCTCTAGTCCCAGTCCCAGTTACTCAGGAAGCTGAGGTGAGGGAGGATAAAGCAAAAGAATCACTTGAGCCCAGGAGTTTGAGCTATGATCATACCACTGCACGTCAGCCTAGGCAAAAGAGAGAGACTTTATCTCTTTAAAAAAAAAAGTTATCTCTAAGAATGTTAGATTTTTGTGGCTATTGTAAATAGTATCTTTCTGTTGTTGTAATTAAATATTTTAACTGTTTGCTGCTAATGGATAGAAATCCTATTGCTTTTTTGTGTATTGATCTTACTGATCTTTTCATTCTATTTGTAGATTCTCTTAGGTTTTCTGCCTAAACAATTATCATTTTTCAATAATTACAGTTCTGTTTCTTTTCAGTTAAATATATTTCTTGTCTTATCCAACTATAAATAAGAAAGGAGTGAGGAAAGGATTATGCTTCTTAGTACTCTTAAAACATTATCATAAGAAAATTTCAATGATCCTATACAATATTTTTCCTTTTTTTAAATGGGTGATGAAAAGACAGGCTCAGGGATATGAAATGACTTGTTTAAAGACATATAAAAGAATCAAGACTCAAAACACTCTCCATCTGATTTCAAAGACTGATCTTTGCACTATAGCATGCTGCTTCCAGATTTGAAGGAAAAAATTAAAAATGTATATAGCTAGCGCTCGACTTACGACCACGATCGGTTCTGACAGACCGGTCATAACACGATTTGGTCGTAAATTGAGTAGGCTATATGCACGGGGAGATGGTAGTGCTGCCGGAAGCTGGTCCGCACTGTCGTACGCTCAGCTGGGCAACGTTTGCGCTGCCAGACACGGAGCAGCCGTGGCTAGCGATTGTGGTCGTACAGTCGAATGGTCGTAAGTTGCATAGGTCGTAAGTCGATCAATTCCTGTAGTATTTTTTCTTAGAATAGCTTAAAAAAGGAATTTCATGATAAGCTTTAAAAATATAACTGCTCTTTTTTCTTTAATATGAAACTATTTATCACATTACTTTTCTACTTTTAGGTGCAAAAAAGAAAAAAGAAAGTAGAAGAGCCACTGAAAGTAGAATACCTGTTTCAGAAAGTCAACTGGTGACTCCTGAAAAACATCGAGCTAGAAAAAGACAGGTATTTGTTTTATATTATACTTGGATAACACTTAGACAGACATTAAAGTTATAACTTGAATAATTGTGATTATTTCTGTTCAGTCCTCCAAAAATCTTGAATATAAAATATTTACCCTTTACCATCTTTGCCTATTCAAAATGGAATTCTTCACCCACATTTTAAAAGTTTTAAGTTGGGTGTTGATACTGACATCTATCTGGAATTATTGTGATACTATCATAAAATCTGTTTATCAGAGGTAAGGTGGGACTTAACTTCACATTATAAGCTTTGATATTTAAATTTTCCTAACAGGGATCCAATTCCAAAATCTCTGCCATATCTGAGTGTGGTCCTGATGCTTACTTTGTCTCTTCAGACTGTGCTTTTTGCTTTTTAGCATTTTTATAATATTTTGCTGATAGCTAGACATGATATATCAGGTAAAAGGAAATGAGATAAGTGACCTTTTAATGTGGGGTTTTATGTTTATCTGGCTAGGAGTTATCGTTTGCTGTAGCTGTAGGTGTCAAAGGTTAAAATTTTTAGCTGGGTGTGGTGGCTTATGCCTGTAATCCTAGCACTTTGGGAGGCTGAGGTGGATAGATCACCTGAGGTCAGGAGTTCAAGACCAGCCTGGCCATCATGGTGAAACCCCATCTTAAAAATAAATAAATAAATAATAAAAAAATAAAATTTCCTCTAGTGTCTTGTTTTTTTCTCTCTTGTTGTCTATGGGTTTCCCTAGTGACTGCTTTAATAAGAGTCTGAGGGAGCTCTTTTAGCTGTAATACCAAGGATCCTGACTGATGTGCTGGTAAGATAAGGGGGGGTGAAGCATTCTGGAGTCCTGTGCATAGGTCTCTTTCTTTTAGTAAGCCTGTGTCCTGGGCCACCACCTCTTGGGTGAGACTTGAAGGCTAGAGAGGGGTGGGGTTGAGTATTTCCACGGGTAAGTTAGGCTCTTTTAAAGCCTCAGTGAGTTAGGTTCTGGCAAAATTGTTTCTCTTGAGGGCAGGATTTTGTTAAGGAGACCAGAATGCTCTCCTGATTTATTTTGAAACGGGGAGTATTTCAAAATGGCTGCTTTTCCCCTCCCCCTGTCAGAAGCAGGAAGGAATTTTTGTCTGATATTTACCCTGAGACCTGGTAGGGCTCCTGGAGGTAAAACTCATGCAAGTTTATGAGTCCCTCTGAAACTGGGCCCATGGAGTTTTTAACTCTCAAGCTTATCCACACTGAGCCTCCATCAGTTCCTCAGCCTCAGTTAATTGCTTCTACCAGTATTGGCTCCACCTGTGAGCTTCTGCTCATCTGCCTCTCTGCTTCTCTAGTTTTTAGGGCAGCAGTTTGCCGTGTGACATTAGTTCTTTGTTGTATCTAAGAAGAGTTACTGATTTTCAGTTGGATCAACAGCTTTTTTCTTCTGGGGACTGGCGTGATGATTTCCAAGATCTTCACATACGGGACTGGAAACCAGAAGTCTCTGCCTTATACAACAACTGATCTTTCCCTGTAGTTTTTCCACAGCCATTCCAAATGAGATTGTAGGTGTTATTTACGGATATATATAAAGAAAGCAGTTTTTTTTCTTCTATTCAAGCCAAAATATAGGATATCAACCACATAATTAGTGATAATATCTGTCACCATTTCCTATGCCAAAAAAGAATTCCGTGGCTATCACAAGTTCCTGGTTTTATTTTTTAGCTTTCCATTGTTGGCTTTTTGTTAAAATACTTGTTTTAGAAGATAAGTGACAGACTTAATTTTATTTTGTATTGAGGTTTTTTAAAAAAGATTTATGGAAATAGCCTACGTCTACTTGGACAGTTTTCTTTTTGATGCATTGGTCTGTTAAACAGACAAAGATATTTCTTCCTTCCTTATCAGAACTAAAGAGCCCTTCTTTTATAAATGTATTCCATTAAAGAAGAAAAGTAAATGCCTTTCAAACTTTTTTCCCTTAACAATATGTAATGAGAAATACTGTAACAGTATTGTCTTTTACTGTTAGTAGTATCATTTTAAGGCATTAAAAAGCATTATTTGTTCTCTAGAATGGACATAGAGTTTTCAGATCTTAAGTTATATAATTTCTAGCCTTGGGAAAGAAAAAGATTGGTGTGTTTTAATTTGTTTTTTTTTTTTTTTTTTTTTTTTTTTTTTTTTTTTTT